ACGGTTCGGGGATGTTTTAGGAACTTTGCTATGGGGTTATGAATGTAAGACAGGATGTTTGGTTGCTGCAAGGGAGAAGGGGGTTGAAGCGAGGGCCTTTTTTTTGCTTTTGCTTTTTTCCCTTGCATGGGCGGAGTGCGGGTGCGGGATGTGGAATAGGTGAGATTTGCTTTTTTCTTTCTTTCTTCTTTGAGAGAGGAATAGAGAGGTGCTGTGTTTTGCGTTGGATTTGGACTTGCTTTTTACTCGCGTAGCAGGGGGTGTTGTGTGTTGGGGGGCTCGTTTAGATGCGTGTTGGCGAGGCTGGTGATGGATTGCGGAGGAGATGGGATGATGTTGGCTTGTGACTTGGTTGGTGGGTTTGGTGTAAATGGAAGAAGCTAGATTGTATGCTCGATTGATTTGATTGTACGCATGCCGTAGCTGAGATGAGGGAGCTGTTGGTGTTTACTGCTGGCTGGTATACGAGTACGTTAGTTGGCTACCCTGCAGTGATGGATACGGGTTCAATGGCTGGGAATTTACTGTACAGTACTGTGTTCCGTACTGCTCGGTGATTTATTGGCTCAGTAGAGGCCGCTACCAGTACTAGCAGGCAGCTTAAATCCCTAGCCGGGCATTAACAGTGGTCTGACTTTAAAAATCCCATTGCCACCTCATGCGGGTGGAGATAAGAATTTTGGTGCCATTGCTTAGCACTGCGACGTCGTTCTGGTTCGTGTTGTGACAGTATCGAGGAATATAGAACACAATTGAAACAAATCCATAACGAAAAGGAACAAGGCTATCTGTCCTGCAGCATATAGATACATGTACTTTGTCTATAGAGATCATGTATAGTACTTGTACAGCATCTAATAGCAGTAAAAGCATTCAATTCTTTGTCCCTGGCTCAGCCACCCAGACAGGAGGTTCGCATGGCGGCAGGCTAACCCCCCTCGGGCTAGAGCGCCGCCAGCGTTCGTGCCCTGGCGCAATTAAAACGGCTGCTTGTAATGGAAGCGGTCGCTGGGCCGGCGCGAGTGCAGGTACATGGCCGGCGTACCTCGGCCGCGGCGGCGCTATGCGCAGTGACACGGCGGTAGCGTGCAGCGCTTGTACCTGTCGCCTTTGATGTCTCGATGCCCTTCGCATTAGTGGACTTAGCGGCTAGCTCCAGGGCTCTTTCCAACGGGTTTTGTAACGGATACATGCCTGTTCTGGCGGCGCGGTCCTGCGAGGCCGGGTGTACTGGTACCTACAACTACACGTTCTTTAGAAGTAATCCTGCAGTACCGATACCTGTGGCGGCTCTCCCTTCCCTTGTGGCCGTACCTGTACCCGCGCCCGTGCTTGTTGCTGGTGCTTGTGCCTGTGCCTGTCGGCTGGCATTTATTGGCCGAGATTTGACACTTGGGCTTGTTGCGAACTGAGCCTTGGGGGGCTCAACGCGGTGTCCCGAGTTTCGTCTTTCCTGGTGCCCCTCCTCCCAGCTTGCGACGATCGCCAAGCACCAGACAAGGCTCTGCGAGTATTTGTTCGACCTTTGCGCCGCCTCTTCAGCGCTCGCTCTGCTGCTGACTGGGGTCTCTCTGGCTCTGTCCTGCTGCCGCGGCCACCCACTCGGAGCGCCTTGTATCGATCCATTAGCCGCCCGTTGGCGCTCTGCTCGCCTCCGCACGCCTCGTTTCCCCCCCATTCGACCTGGTGCCTCAATTTCAACGCAGCCCTCACTCCCCTGAAGCGAAGCAACAAGAAGAAAAAAAAAAAAAGAAAAAAAAGGGAGCCTATCTCGCAAAGCGCTCGTCCATCGAAAAAGTCGTAGCGGCGACGGGACGGCGGACGTCAGGGAGCAGCACCAAATAGGGGACGACGACTGCGCCTGAGAGGGGAGAGAGCGAAACGAAACGCTGGCCACGGACCTCGCGCTGCCGCGGCGTCGCCCAAGATGATGAGCTTCGAAGGAGGGACGGGCTACGCCGAGTCGGACGCCGACGACGAGTATGAGCATCACCTGGGCGACCACTCGCCCGTGGGCGATTCCGAAGCCTCGCCCATGGGCTCCGAGCTGTCGACGTCGGCCGAGCACACGCCCACCACGTACGGCCATCGAAGTAGCATGGACCGCCTGCCCGAGACCATCATTACCGAGTGGACGGCCGAGGAGTGCGCGGATTTCATCAGTGCCATCGGGCTGCCGCAGTATGCCGATACGTTTCTAGGTACGTGATTTGACGGTGTGATTTAGCATGCGGGACGAAGGATGACGACGAGGACGACGACGGCGATGATGATGCGGTTTCCCGCTCTTTTTGGGGCATTGACTGACTGACCGCGGTGTGTTACAGAGAACGACATCGTTGGAGAGGCTCTGGTTGCTCTGCTGCATGACGATCTCAAGAGCATGGGTATCGCCAGTGTGGGCCACCGTCTAACCATTCTGAAAAGCGTCTACGACGTCAAAAAAGCTCAAGATATCCCGATCGAGAGCGACCACTACCTACCACTTTGTAAGGCCTCGCCATCTTGCCCCCCTTGGATAATGAGAATGCTTAGGGCTGACTTTGCTGGATTCGTGAATTTGTAGCCGCCGATGCCGAAGCCCAATATGCTACCGCAACGCTCAAAGACATCAGACACCTAGTAGAACAGCTTCGGTTGCGGGACGAGCGAATGAGCCTACTGGAGCAGGACCTGCGGCGGATGAACGAAGACTTTAAGCGCCTCAGGGAAGACATGCTACCGGCGCTGCGGCTTGTCAAGGACGTGCAGCATCCACTGCCAAACGTTTCTGGGCCCAGCCCAGCGTACACATACGAAGCTACCCTCTCTCCGCCCGCACCAACGCCGCCCGGAGCCCAGCCCGGCGATCGAGGAGTGAAGCGACAGTACTCGCAGCGACGCATCTTGATCGGAGCGACACCCAAGAGCAACTCACCAACGCAAGCGACGCACGACCAGCGGATCATGCCGGAACAGACACTGGACCCGTCCAGCGCGGCAGAAAGGGCAGTCATGTCGTCGACGCACCTGGCTGCCATGAATGGTGCACCTCCTATTTCCACGACAGGATATCCCTCGCCTGTTATGCCATCACCGACATCCCCGATGAACCACTTGAGCGGAACCACTCTTGGCTCTCGATCCTATAATTCAACCCCCTCTGTACGGTCGACACTCATCGAAGGAGACCTCGGCTACGGTTCACGAGACAAGGCCGGCGGAGGGTCGATTCGACGCCGTGAGACGCCCGTTCCCGAGACGCCAAGTTCCAAGGACTCGGTCGAAATCTTCAAGTCATTCCGAGTGAGCATGGACGACCCGTGCTACAAGGTGCTGCCGGCTGCGCTTAAGAAGTATCAGATCAATGCACCTTGGGACCAATACGCTCTGTACATCGTCTACGGCGACCAGGAGCGCTGTCTCGGCATGGACGAGAAGCCTCTAATTCTGTTTAAGCAGCTGGATAAGGAAGGCAAGAAACCCATGTTTATGCTGCGGAAGACAAATAGCGCCCAGGTGGACGGTGATCTCCCCGGCATGAGCATGAACCCGGCGAGGGGTGCTTCAACGGGCTACGATCCGCCGGGAGGCATCATCTGAAGAAGAAAAACAGGCACGCTTCAGTTGATGTGGGCGTACTCACAAGTGTCCCCGAATGACACTGGTAGGAAAGGGTTTTACTATCCGCGAGTACGGCCGTTGTAGTATATACATGGAAGGGGGCGCATTGGAGTTAGTGGGGAAAAGGGAAAGCAAAAAGAACTTCTGGCCACGACGAAAAATGAGACGAAGGAAGCGACATGCCTGGCTGATATATGCTGGGCATGTGTTTTCTGCTGCGGCTCACTCTGACGCTGGAAGCCGTCGGCAAGAGGGCTAGTATGGGGGCTGATGCATAAAAGTCAAACGAGGTGAATTCACCACCGCCCACTCGGTGAAGCGATATCAAGTTTTACCAACGGGGAAACTCTTGAGACGATGGACAGAGTAGCACTTGAGCACAACGAGCTTGAGATGCTAAGGACTTTACGTGGGTCCCCCAAAACGAGAACGAGCTATAATGGGAAGCTTGGACTGAGGGTTCTCGGATTGGATTCTCTCCGATGGACGATTTCCACCCTTTATTATTTGGGTGGGATAATTTTCTTTGAATATGTTGGGCAAATGCGCACACAGGGAGGAGGCAAGGGGGAAGGAAGGGGGGGAAACAAACACGGCGGGGAATTTTGGTGTACGGCAATTTTTTGGGCAAAAATTCACGGGAGGGGAGGATGTGTATTAACTCTTTTTTTCTTCTTTCTCATTTTCTTCTCTTTTCTGTTGTTTTGTTGTGTTGTATGTGGATGCGTTATCTGGGATGCATGTAGTATTAAGAGCGAGAACAACTATGTAATACTCGATATTGAGTGTTTTTTTTTTCTCATTTTATCTTGTAATTTGATGAGCGATGTTGGATGGGTTGATTGAGGTAGTGTATGAATAGATATTTGTGTTGGAATGATGAGTGTTTTTGAAGGTGATTGTCGTGAGAGGACTTTGAAATGATTTGATGTGACTTGGACGAGGTTGATGATGTAAGGAGCCGTTGTGATGGTTTGGAGATTGACAGGGCTGAGTTGGTTGGATAAACTAGGATCAAATCAAATGACAAAGAGGTGACGCTATCAGAATTGAGTGAATAGGTAGTTTTGACAGGCTGCAGACGAAGTTGACTGGTCATCTCACAGCTCGACATGACTGGTTAGTATGCATAACAAGAGCTCATCTGAGTCAACGCCTTGCCCCAAAATGGCTCTTCCCTGATTGGGATGCGGGTGAAAGCCGATGACAGCAAAAGCTCATTCGAGTCAAGAGACTTGCCTTTGCATGAAGCTGTCCCCAGAATCGGGGTGAGGCTGAAAAGCCAACACAGGTCAGATGGTGTGAGAGAATAGAGTTGCCCGCATCCCGTGTGGCGCGTGGCGTGCAGGACCAGTTTCGATAGCTTGGTCGCTTGCACGGCATTCAGGCTAATCACAATGGGCGGAATAGAGTTTCGCAGGTTGCAATGGGAGGAGTTTTTTCACGCGCTGGCTAGTGAATTGACGGGAGAGTGCGTGAAAATAAGAGTCATTGCATGAGTTTTTGCATCTGCTTTGCTTGGTCCAGTGAGGAGGGAGGCTGGACATGCGGCTCCATTCAGCGGTGTAAGTCGAGAAACGAAGGCGTCAGGAGATGTACGTAGACCGTTGGTGCGTCGTCAGAGTCTGGTGGGATACCCGAGGAAGGATTTGCGTGTGCCTGTTTTTTCTTGCCTGGCGTATATGCGGCGTCCTATACGGATGGATTCTGGGTGCGGGCGCCAGGGGATGGGGTTTCGCGTGCTTATGTGATGAAGTCTATTGAGGATGAGGATGGAGAAGGAGAATGAGAGCTATCGTCTATAGTCTATAGCCTAGGTCGTGTGTGATTTTAAATCAGATCAGATGGGTCGTGTTTCGTATTGGAGATACGGTCAGCTTTGTAATAGCTAGTGAAGCTGTATCTACATTACAAATGAAGCGATGGGAGTCTTTGACCCGAACGTTGAAAAGAATCTCGGGACTCGTCCACGGCCGTGTCACAACGGCTCCCGCACCCGAAGGATCAAAGAACTAACAGCATCCGCACCCCGAAGAAGATGCGGCTTCGGCTTCGGCTTAGCCCCAGCCAGAAATACCATCATCAGCTCTGCCTATCCCGCTTTTTTTTTTCTTAGACGCTTGACGTTGCTTTTTTGCCCGCTTGAGTCATCGGCGGGTTCCAAACTAACTAGCTTGAGCAATTGGGGCTCCTTGCAGAGGCGTCCAATGGAAGCTGTGCAGCTGGTGCTCGGGTGCGTCGCCGATTTGCTCGGTATGGGGAAGGGTGAGTGAATGGAGACCGCGCGGACCAAAGTTTGCGACGTGCTTATTATGGGGATTGTTGCTAAAATGCTGTAGCTTGTGCTTTTTTTGATGATGGGGTGTTGTCACTGGTGTTAGTCAGAGTGATGGGTTGACGGGTGTTTGCTTTGGGCTGGGCTCGCATTGCTCGGGTTGCGTGGAGGGAGGACGTACGTTGGCTTGGGAGGAGGACGCTTGTGGTTTTTTTTTGGTTGCTGTTTAAATAAGAGGTCGTTTGGTGCCTTGTTTTTTTGGTTTCTTGTCTTTTTCTTTGTGTTTGGCATCTTGGCATTACATTGTTCGACAAAGACTTACTCTTTTGGGAACGAAGCTATAACCAGCTCGAGTATTATAATATAATATTGCTTTGTTTGTTACCTTGGCTCTGGACCCCTGCTTTGGGCAGCGTTATACCTACATTGAGTGACTAGAATGGAGGAGAGGATATAGTGGCCTACTTGATATTGATATATTCACCGTCACGGTATGGTGCACCGCAGCTACTTACCTATGAATGCCACGATTCCTCTGGACATGGGCTGACGATGATGGCAACAGATGGTCGTATTACCACGTCTGGGTGTTGAACCTAACCCCGACTTTCCCAAAAACGCACCTCCTCGTCCAACTCCGGTCTCCAGCTCTACTCCCACCCCCACCGACATCATTGCCAGCGTCACAAGCAGCGTAACATCATCTCCAACCCCAACAAGTACATCAGACGCAAATGGATTCATACAGATTGCTTCGGATGGCACACCTGGAGACAAGATCCTCCGCGGGTTCCTCATCGGCATGGCCATTGGCATCATCCTGAGCCTCGTGCTGTGCTGCTGGACGCCATGCTGCCGGAAGAAGCGGCGGTCACGGCTAGAGAGGAGAAACGATAATATTCGGAGGAGACTGGTTGTTCTCGAGGACGAGGCCTGGGTGAACCAGAATTGGCCGCAGAGGAGACCATGGGATGTTGGTGATGATGAGAGCCAGAGCCATGTGAGCCACGACTAATACGATATTTGACGGGACGATGACGACGGTGATGATGACGATGACATCTGGTTACTAAGGGAACGGTTTGGAAGCAAATTGCACGACATATGATGATTACGGTATGGGATGGGCGGCGTTTTGAGGCGTTTGGCTTATTGCCAGAATTGGCATCTGGTTGTCTGTTTCTAAGTGCTTTTGACAGTGCAAGGCAGTTTGAGGGACGGAAATAATACAGTCGTCAGCAATGACGAGAAGCACGGATCGGTGCAAGGATATACAGATGGCTTACGAATAGAAACACTATTAATTGATCAACGAGGCTTCTTTGCACTGAATTGGCAGTGATGGGCGTTGTTTCTAACCCACAGCGGCATCAATCTGGCGATGCATCTCACTCAATGGCACGATTCCGGCACTCGCTGGTCCCAAGGCGGGAATTCGGGCACAGCCACTCTCTGGGGCTTGTGGGCCAGCTCGCGCGGCTGTGGCGCAGCAGCATCGAGCAATGACGTTGCGTTGGCGGGAAGCCACGCCAAGCATCTCGATATCCGCAGTAATCTTGTCTTTGCTGTATTGTGGAATATTTTTAACTGATGCTTCGAATTCCTTCGCCTTTCATGATTGCATTGCCCCTTTCCCTTTCCTGAGCCTCAGATCTGCGACAGGCTTCTCCTTGGGCGATAGCGATAGAAGACGACAGCGCACTACTGCAGGCCTGATCCTGCTCCTGATCCTTCAGATTTGGGCCTTGTTGTCTCGGCTTGCCGCAGCCTCACTTTATAGCCGCCTGCGTGACCCCTCTGGCCAAGACTCGAAACAACGCGAAATGACCTGCTGATTCTCGCCGCGGCTTGAAGCTTCTTTTTTCCTTTTTCCTTTTCTCTCTCTGCATTTTCAATTCTAGCATCTGAAATACACACGTAGCCGCCATGCTTGACGACAGCTTCCCCACGTATCGGATGCACTCTGCTGCAGAAGATGCTCTCCAGACGACTCTGTTCTACACCTACAACGGCTCGGATCCTCTGCGCGCTTACACCCTCCAGAGACCTGCACCAGCATCCTCGGCGAACCAGTATGCGCTCGCTCTGTTCGACGCCCACCACCAATCCGTCATCTACGGCGAGGTGCTGGTCAAGCCCGAGTGGCAGCAGCCCACGCTCTCGGCCGCCGAGATTCGCAACCAGAACGGCTCGCCGCCCAACGTGCCCATCACGCCCGACTCCTTCTCCGTGCTGCTGTACAACCCCGACCAGAACATAGTCGTCAAGCGCAATGCCGGGGGGTGGAACCGCGCTGATTCGTGGGGCTTTGAGATGCCGGAGCGCACCTTTAAGCTGCCCAGCGTCAGCAAGCTGGATCAGGAGACGGGGAGCAATGATGTGTCGGATCTGTCGCCAAAGATTATGTTTCACTGGAAGCGGGACGGGCGGCTCAACAGGGACATGACGTGCTACATGTCGGGCAAGATTGCAGGCGGCAAGAAGAGCAAGGAGCCGGACATTACGGTGGCCATGTATCGGAGCCACAAGCAAGGGGATGCCGTGTGCATCTACGAGCCCAACATGGCTCGCGTCGAGGTCGAGGACCGGAAGGGTCTTGAGGTGGTGCTGCTTCTGAGTGCCGTCGTCGTCAGAGACTTGCATTTTGCGCCTCGGCAGAATCCGTTCAACGTCTCCGGCGCTGCTCCTGCGCCGAGAAGAGGCTCGCGGCCGTTGGCACCGTCACCTAACGACCCGACGCTGGTATCGGGTGCGTTGGCAGATACTCCATCACCGGGACCGACACACACCCCTCCCGCAAGGCCGTCTCCGGCTAGCAATGCCGCGAAGCAAGCCGAGATTGATGCCGAGACTCGCAGGCTGCAGGCCATGGTGGCCGAAGAAGAGCGACAGCGCCGCGCGCGGCTTGCTCGGGAGGAGGAGGAGAAGACGCGGAGGATGCTCCAGCAGGAGGAAGACGCTCGACGGCGGCAGAAGCAAGCCGAGATTGATGCCGAGACCGAGCGGCTGCGGCGACAATACGGCGTCCCGGCCCCACGGCCAACACAGTCCCCTCCTCTTCCACAGCGACCCTTTGGGACGACGACGACGGCCATGTCTGGTGCATTGGGTGGTGGTGGCGGCGGCTGGTATGGCCCGCCCGTCGTGAATAACCTCCAGCCCCCTCCTCCGCCGCGGCCAAACAGCGTAGGGCCGGGCCCGTCTACGCAGCAGCAGAATGGGCGCAACAACCTGAGTCCTTATTCGGGACCGTCGGGGGCGCGGGTCAGCGCGCTTAGCTTTTTCGGCGGGGGGAAGACGGATGAGGAGAAAAGGAAGAAGATGAAGAAGAAGCAGAGCGTGCATTTCTAGGGGGCGTCGCATCATGGGCGTTTGGGGGGGAATATATACCAGGTTGATTTGGGTGGCATAGACTATGGGGTGTTATGGATTGTGTATTTATGTTACTTGATGATCACTTGTGGTGGCATTACTAGGAGTATCGTTTTTACAAATCATGTTATTCATTGAGTGTAATTTTATGTGTATTGCACTGGTATTAGATGTCATACAACAACTGCACCTCTTTGCCGGGACTGGGCTGAGCTAATAGACCTAAATTCTGCAAGGCCATAAGAGCACCCTCTTCGCCTGTCTCGTCGATGATTTTGCCATCTTTCAGCGTAAAAATTGTGATTCCGGAAAAGTATATTTTCATCCCGGTGTTTGGAGTATTCAAAGCTCCTACTGGAAGGTCCGAGGATGCAACTCCTGAGTGGATGCTGGTAGACGCGGAATGAAATATCGGGGAATGCCTTGCTCGAAGTTGTTTATTAACAGGGCTGATGATGACATTTGTTGGATGGGGGGTTGGACTTACTCGTTTGAGGTCTGTGAGCATGTTCTTTGTACTGGATTTGCCATGTCTGATGCCGTGCATGGGGTAGTTCATGGTGAAGTCGTCGGCGCAGAGGTCGTCGACGATGTTTGGGTTGGCTTTGCCCCAGTATTCTGTGAAGTATTGGGCGACGATTTGGAGGTTTTTGGATTCTTCCTCGGTTGGGCATTTTGAATATATGTGATGGGTGTTTGTTCTTTGTGTCTTGGTATGTGATGGTGATGTGAGATAATCTTTCAGATATGAGCATTTTTTCATTCATTCCTGTTTAATCTTTTCATTGCTATGGTTGCTGTAGATGTTACCTGTACCCAGTGGTATGTAAAGTATCGTGAGGTGTGACGAGACACCGTGCTAGCTGGCAACGAGATCATTGGCCATAATCGTGACAATTCGGCTTCCCAGTAGCGTATCCAATAATAAATCGGCGTTAAGAAAATCTAACAATCTAATGTAGAGCTGTGTGAATCCTCATTTGGCAATGTGGCTATCAATATTTCGGCGTTAAAGAAAGAAGAATAGGTTAAACGACTTAAAGTTACGGGATGTCTCATTTGACAGCTGAGAGCCGGCTCTCGTGATTGGTCACATCTCGCGCAACTCTGACGGGTAACACACAGCCAGGGCGAGGGTTTCGGACATTGTCCGGGTTGAAACAGGACATACCTTTTTCACAACACAATCCACAACTACCGACATGAGATAGAGTGTCATTTGTTTCTCAACTGGTTAATGAATATGGAAATATGGGCTGCAGTGGAGAGAGAGTGTCGAGGGTATAGATCCATATTGAGTGAGCAATTACACAGCAACACTTCTATAGAACGGAAAAAGTAAATGTTGTGTAGGATCAGTTCAGAAAAGATAGATATTTCCGCGGAATATAACGAAGCAGATTGAAATATAAATATCCATCTCCTGATGCAGGACTCAGAGAATGTTACAAGCAATTCAATCCTCATAACCTCGAGAATCTCACATCCTCTACGAAAAAACACAAAAGCTACAATGTCTCCTATTCCAACTCAGACGATTTCGCCGCCTATTTTCTACTGGGGCACCCCTGTTGTGCTCATCACAACGGAGAATGAGGACGGAACTTTCAACATCGCACCCATGTCCTCGGCGTGGTGGCTTGGAAATCGATGCATGCTGGGCTTGGGACAGGATTCGCAGACGACCATCAATCTGATTCGAACCAAGCAGTGCGTGCTCAACATGGCCGACGATACTATGACGGAGGCAGTGAATGCTTTGGCATTGACTACCGGAGCGAAAGAAGTTGAGACAGCGACAGAGGGCATGGGATATCTGTACTTTAAACGAACTCACGGTTATCAGTACGTTAAGGATAAGTTTGGGCGTTCGGGTTTGACGCCTGTCCCTTCTAAAGTGGTTCGACCGCCTCGAATTGCGGAATGTCCAGGCCAGATGGAGGCCGAACTGCAAGGAGTGTATTACATGATGGAGGACGTTGGCATGAGGGGATTCATCGCACTACAGGTCAAGGTTCTGCAGACGCATGTGCACGAGAGCATTCGCTGGGCGGGATATCCGAACCGGATCGATCCTGATAAGTGGCATCCGTTGATTATGAGCTTTACGCAGTTTTATGGGTTGGCGAGTAAGAGATTTACTGAGTCGACGCTGTCTGAGATCGATGTGGAAAAATACCGGCCTTTTTCTAATGCGGTTGAGGATGGGGAGGGAAAGGAAGGGGAGGAATCGACTCGGGAGTTGCTTAATTAACGTGGCATTGTGTTGAGTTGTCAAGGATGTGTGGGAGAGAGGTTCTTGTTCTTGTATCGCGAAGGACTCTTTTATTCTTCCTGAAATAGATTTCTTTCTGTTCTAAGAATTGAAATGTGAATTATGGTACTTGAGGACTTAAGCGTCGGCTCATTATAAGATATAAGTGAGGTTAAGATGGATGAAGCTGGATTACACCTTTAGCCTGGAGACAGGTACTGGCGCATGGTATTACGCTTCCATTACAGGAACTGTGAAGTGGCCTACGGCCAAAGAAGCCACGAGGTAAAGAGAGCCAGATGGGAGCTGAGGACGCATATACACACGCATTCGAGATAATCGTAAGAAGCCAGGCATACAGTAAGATTCAACGTACCCATTTTGGTTTAGTGCCTCCCTGCCGGTTACCGCCTCGCGTTTCAGTCTTCTCAATCGCTGCTTCAACTTGTCATTAATTCTTCGCTCTCATACTCCTTCTTTCTCATATCCGGATCTGTTGGGCCTAATGAGAGCGAGTGTCAGATCGAGAGCCATTCCAGTCCCGCCGTCGGCGAAATATCCCCGGATAACAAGCCCGATAATGACTCCAACAGCGAGGTGGGATTTCTGGGCCTCGGTGACCTTCCGGATTATGCTGTTTGCAGGGGGAGAGATGACACGGACTCTCGGACTGGCGGGTTCCGAGAGTGAATTTATTAGCAGAGTACGCTGGACTTCTGAAATAGTGGCATTCTATACTTGAACAACAACATCAAGTCGCTCTCAACACTTGAACACTATGGCTTCGAAGAACCCAACCTTGGGATTTAGACTGACGCATGTCGGCCTTCGTGTTACGGACATGGACAGATCCGTTGCGTTTTACACGGGTGCTTTTGGCATGAAGGAATTGGGCCGCATGGAACTGGACACGACCACGGTTGTTTTCGTCGGTTATCCTGATGCAGCGGACCCTGAAACAAAACTCTTCGCTAGGGAAGGTATACTAGAACTAGTATGCTCAAAGGTAACTGATGCTTCATCAAGAGTCTCGTCCGCTTCCGGCCAAGACTGTGGCTGACCTTGCCCTTCAGAATTCCCAGAAAAGCATGAAGGACTCAAGTGACTATCCGGATTACCGATTCGTCAAGCTGGCAATCGGCGTGCCGGACATGGCAAAGGCCGTGGAGTATATCAAAAGTCACAATGTTAAAATAGTCAAAGACGCTGGCGAGGCTCAGGGTTTAGAGGTGATGTCTACGTTTTTGGGTTGCGAAACGCCCGACAAGGGATTTGACAAGCCTTTGTGGGATCTTGCCGTGGCTGTCCCTTTTGTGGAAGACCCAGATGGATACCTCATTGAATTAATCCCGTATTGAGCTATAATCTGGGCTATTCGCAGCTGCGTCGTATAACAGCGTCCTGCACCGAATATAGGAACCAGTTGTCTTACAAAATGAGTGTATACCTCGACGTGACGTGTGAGCGCCATCACAGCTATGACAATGGCGCTTAGATAGTACTCGACTTTTCATATTCCACGGCGTATTGTTTTGTCTTCGCCAATTACCTATCAATCCGCAGTCTATTCCAAGTCACAACTGCTCTGATACTATGCAATACTAATTCCTAAGCATGGCCTATGCCTAAAGGCGCATTTCACTGAGTCGCTGCGGAACTCTGCTCGTCCTGATCCATAGAACGAAAGACTTGGGCAACGCGATGGAAAGACTCCTTCGGTGCCCATGGAGGCATATCCTTAGATCTTGAGTCTGTCTTAGGGAAGGTCTTTACCAGCGAGAAACACATCATGTCCAGATCCCTCGCCCCTTCTCCTGCCGGCATGCAAGGGAACGAAAACAGATATATAAAGGCCGCCTCAACCCCTGCACTGTTGAGAAGCTCAAGCTGCGTCCCGACATAATCGGCCTGCTCCTTCTCGCTCCGCGTCGGGACGATATCGTTCTCGAAGATGCCAGTGCCGTCGGGATTCGTGCCTTTTAAGAGTACGAAGCCGCCGTCTCCGCGCACTGCTGCTCCCTCGTAGGCGCAGCAACCAACTTCTAAAACAGCGAGGGGCTTTCCAATCCTGTACCGATCGAGACACGAGACATACTTCTCCGCAGTCTCTCCTCGGCGATAATAGTCTATGCCGACGGTGTCAAAGATATCCCAGTCCACGACTTCCCAGGAGCCAGCCGAGTATGTGATCTGTCCTCCGAACTGGGAACGAATCACCTCGACGAAAGACCGCAACGCCTTATTCAACTCGACAGACTTATCACGCAGGGCCTGAGGAATGTCCTCGATCATGTGGCCGCTGGGAAAATTCTGGCCGAGAAATATTACACGGTCGTTGAAAGAATCTCCGGGGAAAACACCTTTGCTGAAGATGGTGTATTCGCAGCCGGCGACAAAGACCAAATCAATGCCTTCATTGCGTAATGTTTCTGCCGTTTCTGCCGCCTCTTGGAAGTATGCGCGGGTCTCGTCGATGGTTGCATTCATCTTCCACGGATTGAAAAACACCTTGAGTCCCATCGAGTGCGCTGACCGTGCGGCAATCTCCAGCCGAGGAATCTCCTCTCCTTCAATCCGGACGGCATTGGCATGCAAGTCGTCGGCGATTGTTTTCATGTCGTATGTGACTAGAGCAGGATCGAATGGCTCGACGGAGAACCCAGTGCCGGTGAAATTGAGGCCGACATCGTAGACAACGCCGCGGTACTTCATGGTGGAGTGTTTGTTGGGAAGGATTGAGAAGCGCAAAATGACTAGAGCCTCACAGGATATTCAAGGCCAACAATATAATAATCGTGTCCAAACGAGCATGAGGCAAGAAACAAGAGGCACGTAATAGTCAAGCATACATACATAGTATGAGGCCCTCGAGGGTGTCTCCACTGTTCGGACTGCGCACTCCTGGCGTCCCGGCGTCCGGCCATGGCTCGAAATTTCATCGGACCTGCAGACTTGTCCTTCCAGCAACCTCGTCGGGGACGGCTTCCAAAAGTCCGGACTTACACCCTTTGACAGTTCCACCATTCGGCCTGCGATTTGCCCTGCCCGAATCGAATTGAGAGCGTCTCTAGACACCGTTGTGAGGATGTCGTTCAGACCTGGAGGCACTAATCACGGACCCACCGGCCAAGCAGCAGGGGGAGAAGGCGGCCTAGAGTCTCAGGGGAATGGAGTAGACGGGCATGAGGTTATCGTGAAGGAGAAAGCGGCAGTATGAGAACATGAACCTTTCCTTAGTCGGGTCACATATGAATAAGGTGAATAAGATGCTGACATGCTCCACAGTGTGATCGTTGCCGCCAGCGAAAGGTGCGGTCCTTCTATTTACCTGCAGCAAAGATTGTTCCTGTGAGGTGTATCCGACCTCGGTCTACTGACTTCATGTTTCGAGCTGGCTTCATAGACCAAGTGCAATCGCGTTAATCCGTGCTCATGCTGTATCAAGGCGGAGGCACAGTGTACCTTCAGACTGGCTCACGGAGCCAAAGAAAAGCGGCAGCGGGTCCTGATCTCGAGTGTATAGTGAGTTGTCCCCCCAGTACAGCTACCTACATGTAGTCATTAATATATCATCAGTGAGAGGAGACTTGAGCATATTTCGAACAGAATTGAGGAGCTATACGGAATCATAGGACAACTTAGAGATGAGCGCCATAATGAGGACAGTAGCCTTATGGCCCCAGCTAGATTACGAGCACCGTCATATTCCTCGCTCCAATCTGGCAGACTTCGGGCACCCGCCAAAGCTCTAGCTCCAGTGGAAGGGATTGAGTCCGCATTGTTTGCTCAGGTCATTTGCGCAGCGGGAGCTCTTGAAACCGCTGTGATGAATGACCCATACTCTAGGGCCGTCGACGACATAACTTCGGCGTTGAATACTTTGCGGAACACAGTCAATGATCAAAAGCAGCAAAATGAGACGCTGGCAGGGTCACGTTCATTTCCAAAGGCGCTGCCTTCTGGTCTCAGTCTCAGGGATTTGCCTATCCCTCCCCTGGATAAAATCATGGCATGCCTCAGGATCGCTCAAGGTGCGTCTCTTGTTTCTAGGTTATGCTGCACTCGTTCTGATAATCATCCGCAGAGAGCTCGCCGAGCGAGCTTTACTGGCCCTTTGAATTTGGATCTCTAGGAGACTTCACCCAGTACGTGATCAGAGCCTGCACACCCGGGCCGATTAGCGATATGGAGTTGATCATAGTTCACTACGTTCTTTCCTCGCTCTTCACCCAATGCTCGATGGGTGCCGATGACGAGACGCTCAGACAGGACTACGATGTGCAAGCTGAAACGTGCAGGGAGAGTCTCGAGACAATTCTATCGAGCCTTTCCTTTCACATTGATACCAATATTGACTCCGTCTGTGCCTTGTACATGGCGGTGCGTTTCCCCCTGTTAGTAGCAATGCACTCTCTACAGTATTAATTTGCGATTTTCAACATACAGTCTCTTCATTGTCTGTGCCAGGGAAAAGTGTCCACAGCCTGGACGTTTATTTCAAGAGCGTCACTTATGTGCCTGGCTTTGGGGTTGCATAGTAGCCAGGCCATGGTAACAGAACAAGAAAACGCAATGCAGCGAAAGATGAGTCTTTTCTGGGCTGTGTACGCCCTGGAGAAAGCTGTGGCTTTACGGCTCGGCAGGCCATCGACTATTAGAGACGAGGACATCACCATCCCACGAATCATTTTGGGCCGCAAAATGACCTCCCTAGCATACAACCGGCTGCCTGACTGGATCGATGCCGCTAGCCTCTACGGCCGCTTGTACGATAGCTTGTATAGTCCGACTGCGTTGGAACAACCGGGCTCTGTTCGCGTGTCTCGTACCAGTGCACTGGCTTCTGAGCTGGAGCGGATGATAGTCGCGAGAACCGGATACTATGTAAGTATTTAAACAGCTTTTTCGTGCTCCGAACAGAATCAAGCATACGGAATCAGTTCGTGAATAATCTGGCTAACCACCCGTCGCAGAATCAGCCAGACCTGTGGAGTAGCCATTTGCTAGATCCAACCCTTTCACGGTTCATGATACACGCCAACAGAGCTATAGCATACTCAACCTTGGCGTCCATATACCGAGGAGTCCCAGCAGAGAGTCAGAGTCCTTCGGGTATAATACCATGTACGCAATGCATCGCCGCTGCGCGAGTAGCCCTTGAAGAAAGCGAAGCCAGCATTGCCATACTTTCAGATGCAGCAAAGTGGCCCACCGGTCTTTACAAATGGGTCAACGAGATTCTCCTCCTAGCGCCATTTATCCCCTTCACAATCCTGGTCTGTAATGTTGTTGATACTGTTGACGCGTCGGACCTGGGCTGCTTGGGGGGAGTGGTTGACGGTCTACAGGCTCTGGCACAATTGCCGCGCTATGCGAGCTGCAATAGACAGCTGCGTGTTTTCAAGTCACTGTATGATGTTGCGGCTCGTTACGTCGAAGCAAAGACAAGCCGGGAATCAACAGACGCGACTGGCACTCTATTCACGAATCCCGACACCGATGTCTACTTCAATGATGACACTTGGTTAGAGAATGGATTCTCTCCTGTCTCGTCTTTACCTGTCCAGCAGGGCGAGCTGTTTTAGTCTCTACGTAGTTGAGAGCGACCTTTATTACCAGCTTTCTTCCGTTTTTTATGAGGTTGCTCTATGTTTTGCAACTACTTTTCCACAACGAGCCAATTAATATTTATCTCATCGAACTGCTTCGTTATATTGCGCTCGGAGCGTTCGGTAACAGACATAACTATCGTTGTTGCATCGGCTGCACATGGCTTGTTTACTTGGGCTCTCCGAACAAGCGCATCCAGTTGTGACATAACCGGTCTTGTTCCAGAAGTCACTTGGCGCTGGCACAAGATTTTGCTCGGTTTGTTTTGCAATTTGTCTATTATTCACGGCCAACTTCTATTCTAAATGTGTATAATGGTGTTTATCATATTGTAAGTGGTTTGGATTCCAGTTAGCCGGCGGTACAAATAGCAGTAACCCGGGGGAGGCTCGATATTATGTCCCTGGCTCAATAAAGATGGGCTCCTCCGGCGGAGACGTAACCTCAACTGACCCGTGACCCCTGCATTGACCTAGAATAAAAGTTCAACTGACCTATGCTAGTAGCTAGCTAATTGGATAAAATAAAAATAAACATGAAGCATGAGTCAGCCGAGGTTTTTCCATAATCATAAAATAAAAGGAAGTTATAGGAGGATATACCTCAACTGACATGAGCTCGCGTTTTTGAACTGACACTAGCTCTACTTTTACTGTTCAACAAGGAAGCTCATCTGACAGGAGGTTCAAAGGCGTTCAAGGCCGTTAATTGGCTGTTCAATTCTGCCGCCCCACACAGCCGCGAAGGTGGTGTCAGCTCAACTATTTAAAGGGCATGTTTATAGGTTATGTCTCCCTCTAGAGCGCGGGAGTCGGGATATTACAAAGTTGAGAAGGTATCTCATTGTCCGTAAACCATTCATTCACGCAGTCGTCGTCACTTATTGTATGTAATGAAGAAAAAGGAGATGCTAGGAACGATCAAGCTACGTTTAGGCTTGAGGTGCCTGCAAAGTACCTAAGGGGACTCAGCTGTCCTTTAATTCTCAAGGCATGTATCTAGACTGGGATTATTTTGTACCTAACCTACATGTATTCATTAACTCAGTTTGCACTGTTCACATAAGCGAAATGTTGCCAGATCGTAGTATACTTTAGAGTACTTTATACTACCTTGAAATGTAACAGATGCGTGAATTTTGACAATTGACAAGAATATATAAGTAGAGCATAAGTAAGTACTCATGGTCCGTGCTTAAATATTTCTGAGTGTGTGAACAGGACGCCTATTTCGCTCCTAACTGTATTACAAGGGACTATTTTATTCTTCCTAATATAAATTTCTTTCTGTCCTAGAAATTGAAATGTGAATCATGGTTCTTTATGAGTGAAGCGTCAGCTCCATATAAGATATAACACAAGTGAGGTCAAGATGGAGCAAAGCTAGAGTTACACCTTTTACTCTGCCAATGTCTTCCAACACTCCTTAGCGCGAACCTGGAAGCCCCACCAAAACCCGCAGCAAAGCCCTCCATACTTGGCACAACGCTTTCGTGACTTGATGTGTAAAGCATCATTATTAAGAATTGTATCTTTTTCAAGCTGTCATTCACTGCAAAGAAAAATCGTAAAAGTGGGGATAAGATTATGTATTATTAAAATGTAGTGTATGTGTCTAATCCTCCTCTCTTTCCTAGCCCCCTTTTATTGTGTATAGGTATCCCTCGCGTCTCGAATCAAATGGGTATATAATACTCATGATATAAACTTTTGTGCTCCCAGCCCGAAAAAAACCATTGCCCAAACTTGTAAACAAAGCAGAAAAAAGGATTGTCGAAATCAAGTAAACTTTTGGTTTTTGTCGTTGTCGTCGTTGATAGTCCAAAGGAGTGTGGTTATGTTTTTTTGTGATTTATTCCATCAATGCTGGGCATAGGCAAAAAATATCCACCACCCTTCTTTCAGTTCAGGAGCACAAGTAAACAGTTCGATGAAGTTGTTTTTGTTTTGTTTTCGATGAAGTTGTACCCCGTTTAGGCAATGTTCATGGGCAGCTTCATGCCGGCGCCGCAGTTGGCAGCCTTGATCTCAGGGCGGGGGCGGGAGAAGAAGCTGGAGAAGCGCTTCTTCTTCTTCTCAGAGGCCAGAGAGCGGTTGTCAGGAGTGTTGGCGGCGGAGGTGGCGGGAGTGGTGGAGGGAGACAGGATCATGTCGTGGTTGACGCCGTTGCTGAGAGCAGCGCGGAAGTGGACGAGGTCACCCATGAACATTTTGAAGGTTGGTTTGGGAGTTTGTAAAGTAAGGTAGATAGTAGATGATTGTGTGGAAGATTGTAGTAAAGCTGAGCTTTGGAAGCTTGAGTGATGCTTTTGGATGTTTGTAGAAGTTGTTGTTGTGTTTGTAGCTGTGGATGCTGATGATGATAGAATTCCTCCTCGTCCAAAGCACGGCCTAAGCCTCTCCTTATATACAACCGGCGCTCGCCTCCATTCCGGTACGTACTCTCACGATGCCGCGAGTTTCCATGCCTCAGCACGTTGCTGAAATTTTCCATTCTAAAAAAAACATGTTTCGCCGTGGCCTTGCTTGGTCATTTGCGCATCACCTGCAGACGGCGGATCCGTGCTCGATCCATCGGCTTCGCTCTGCCGGGGCTCGGGGATCCACAACCCGATCGTAGGCGCCAGGGGAGCTCCCGTTTGGGAAGAGAAAAAAACCAGGCATCGTGAAAAATTGAATGGGATGTGGATCTTGGAGGAGAGGAGAGTGGAACATTGGTGACTGCTCACATAATTGGGCGTCGAGGTGGGTGTGGCTCAGCTCGGGCTGGTGCCTTGCTCGGCACTGACTCAGCAGGGGGGCAGAAGAATTTTCTTGCTTGATTTTCAGGTACGAGGACACGAAAGGCGAGCCGGTAAGAGGCGGGTTAAGGCGCTCGGGCCGAAAGTGGCAGGGGTTGATGTGATTTGATTGGGCCTTCGCTGTAATATTTTCTTGTTCTCGGGTTGATGATGACTGGACTGGTGTGGCGCGTGATGGCACGTTGCTGATGCAGGAACCTGATGCTTCGGACGAGGCTGCGTGATGACGAAGCTGAAGCCGAAGCCGAAGCTGGAAACGCGGCGATGACGCTGGTTGATTCCATTCGGCTTCGCTTTCACTTGCTACTTGTACGTTCATAGTATGGAGTAAGAGTATTCCACACGCTTCCTTCGATGACTCCGATGTACAGATACGACGCCATACGAGCAGCGACATTCGCAAGGCGTAGGCATAGGCGTCGCTTTACGCGCAACTCGCCGGATGAGCCACGCGCAGATACTATTACACGTATTCCTCTAGCATCATCACAACTCCTGTGGAAACGCCCCCTTTCTCGCCATATCCCAGTCCTCAAGCCCTACAAGCCCAACGGAAAAAAGAGTCATGAACAGAGGCTCCCCTCCCAGCCCGAGGACCCGCAGAGCCGGGATCCGTGATGAATTCTCTTCTCTTCTTCAAAAAGCCCACTTTTCCGTCTCCGCCCGCGTGCTTCGAAAATAGTCACAAGCAACAAAACCGCTGCAACGTCCAAAACGGCCCAGTAACAAGCCGTAGCTGAGGCAGCCTCTCAATGCAACAGGCTACGAGTGCAGGCTGCTTGTCTTTTCCGCCTAGCGAAATCCACTTCGGCAGTGGAAAAGGGCTGAAGTGGCGTGTGGTCGTGGCGAGATGGAGCTGTGCGGCTGGTGGGTTCCCCTTTCGTAATAATAACCTGAACCGCTGGAAAAATATGGATCTCTGTGAAATTTTGCTGCCCTGGAATGGAAATTTCCCTGGTTTTCATTGCTGTTTTTTGTTGAAGAAAGCTGCGGTAAGCTTCGGTTTGCAGGGGGGTTTGGCACGTGGATTGGGCTGCTGCTGTGGTGGTCATCGTGATGATTTTTTTCTATTGCAGGTGGATACGATGCCATTTTTTTTTTTTTCTTACTACGGAGTACTACCTTGCCAAGTGGAAAAGAAAGGGGGCTCGTGTAGAGATCGGGTGATGAGACTGGTTTGAAACATATGATTAGATGCGATGCTGGCACAATCGACATTGGACGGAGTGCACCGAGAGTAGCCGACGGGTGTTGGTGATGCGGCGAGGAGGCATCTGGCCAGAGCATTGTGACCCTTTTGCATCGTGGCGATATTGTAGGCCGTTGTTGCATGAAGAGCAATATTGGCATTTTCTGGATGACCCCTTTTGCGGATTTCGTAGCTCGGCGTGTGCATTGCTGGCGGATGTGGATGTTGACCGTGTCTTGAAGCAATCCATCTATATGCTCAACTCATCCCTATGTTGGGATACCCGCTGGAATAAGACAAGCCAAACGGAGCTCAACAGCTATAGATCCATTGGCAATCCAATTGACTGCTCACGGCACACTGATCCAGTTGGATATAGCCAGAATTGGTGCTACTCTAGAAAAAAAATACTAATAGCCGTTCCTGAAGAAGCTCCTCCGCCCCCATTCGGCCGATATCCCTGAGACAGCTTCAACTCTTCTACACCGGCAGTTGCCCTCTCCTTAATGATTACAACCCAGCGGGTATCCAGCTTATCCACTCGATGCGTTTCCATCTATGCTCCACCAGTATCCTCCATTTCCAAACCATCAATGCGCAGGAGCCAATCCGTCTCCATCATCACAACCCACCTCCTCCAAACCAGCGTTCCCCTCCAGCCTCATAATCCTTCTGTACTTCTTCAGAGCTATCCCAGCCGTCCTCAAAACGTCGTCCATTGCCTCTACAATATTGTTCATGCACTCCAGCGGCGCGCCGTCTCCTCCCAACTCCTTGAACAAGGACCTCTTTGCCTCCACCACCACATACGAAAGGGGGTAGCAAGCAATCGTTGTTGGTCTGTACTGAGTGAGGATCTTTTCGTAATTTTCCTGACGAGCCTTGTCCCATTTGGCGTAGCAGCCCAGCCCCGTCTCGCGGATCAGTATGCTGCTCACCTTGGCTCGTGCCTTGTCCCTCAAGATTGTAAGCAGTTCTAGAGGCGTTGGCCGTTAGCATTCATGTAGATGTGGCAGCCAGCTTGGTAAAAAACCGGGGGGGGGGGGGGGACATACTGATTGCTTTAGGAGGCAATTCCTGCTTCAGAGGCGCCTATACCCATAGTTGCTTAAAGGGCGTCGAGCAAAAGCCAGCCAAGATCTGCGTGCATCTCTCAAACATGACGTCGTCGTCGAACGAGCAGGCCGCCGCCATGTAGCACCCAGATCCTAATGTGGGATCCCTCTTGAATGCCTCGCTGTCTCTGCCGCTTAGCAGCCACTGTCGTGACACGAATCGAAACGCGTTCTGGAGCTGATATCTCTCCACCACCACGGCCATATTAAGAAGAACGGCCGGTGAAAGCTCCAAGGGGACGTCCTGGTTGGAGTGGTGGATGACGAAGCAGATCTTGCGGAACAGTCCGACGTTCTCATTTTCGAGCCAGATTATCTTTTCGGAGTCGTCATTTTTCTTGAAGGCTTCTTCCACCATGTCTTCGAAGACGGGCGACGCGCAGATGAGGCTCTGGGAATAGACTTGGAACATGACGGGTGGACTTCCCACTGCCAAGAGGACATCGCCGCAGGGGCAAATGGCCTCCAAGTCTTTGCCTTTGCGCGCATCTATTCGCCTGCTCTCAGCCTCAACCTCGAGCAATTCATCCCTCTTTTCGCGGAACTTCATCTGGTTTGCAACGAGTTCGCTCAGGAGCGTTTGATTCGACTTTTTCTTTCTCATTTCACGTAGACGTGCTTGGCGTGAATTTGGCGGAGAAGGTGGCCGCTTCATATTTGAGACTCTCCTGGCCAGCAGAGTGAGTTTGCTCATGTTCCTCTCCATCTTTCGCTTTGCCGCCGCCATCCTTGCCTCTCTGGCGGCCTTTGCTTCTGCTGATGCCGCTGATTCCGCTGGCTCATCCAACTCTATCGGCTCTGCTGCGTCTAACGACTCTGATGGCTCTGACAACTCTGGAGGCTCTGGAGGCTCTGATAGTTCTGACAGCTCTGATAGCTCTAATGGCTCTGATGGCTCTGACGGCTCTGACTGCTCGGATGACTCTGATTGATCTGATAGCTCTGACAACTCTAGCAGATCTGATAATTCTGATAGTTCTGATAGCTCTGACGACTCTGATGAATCCGACGACTCACCAAACTCTACCAAATTCCTCAACGGCGATGGCCCTATCTTATTCTTCCTCAGCGGTGATGGTCCTACACCATAGTTCCTCAGAGCCATGTCAAGACGGTATGATAATCGTAAGAATGGATGTAGTCTTGAAAGCAAGAATGAAACTGGAAACCAAAAAAAATAAAAAAATAAAAAAAGTTGCGTGAAAGTCTTGTGTACATGTACAGGCGAAGATGGAAGAATGCGTTTTTGCAGTTTTGGCAGGATATATGCCTACCTGCCCAAGGGAGTAGCCACTGCCCTGGTACTTCTGAAGAAAGCATCTTGTATGGTAGATGAGCGTAGAAAGCACGAGGGAGCCTATCGTGTGTTGTAGTATATAAAAGTACTTCGCAGGTAAGGCTGATATGGCGCCAGCGAAAAGTAAGAGCACAGAGAGACGCTATTATGATATCTCGGCTTGCAACAAGCTGCTTACAAGTTGGCAATGATAGAATGTAATCTTGCATAAAGCTCTGTTATCAGCTCCATCACTCGATGCATAAACTCACTCTGAACCAAGAGCTGCCGCATTAGCCTGCTTTCAATCTCATCCGGGCCATCAAGAAACCATACCTGTGTCTACATGGCCATGAACCAAACCAAACCAAACCGAACCAAACCGAACCACGAAGAAATCAAATCACTGCACGCAAACACACACACACACACACACACACACACACACACACACTAGATGCATATCGTCATAAAAAACATAACCATGGCCCTTGACATGCATCTAGGCTCTTCAAATCATCACACCTTACACAGTAGCCGGCTTCCCAAGAAAAATGCCGCTCATGTAACGCCTCCCCTTCTTGATCCGTTTTATTTCGTTTTCCAATCCCAAATCCCGCTACCCCCCCACGCGGCTCTCGTTAAGCAAAATATATAATGTATATCAAATTGGTTTTTATGTCTTCTTTTTATTGTCTCTTCTTAGTTATCCTCGTCGACCTTCTCCAGTCGCAGGTCGTTGACCAGCATGTATCGGCTGAAGCCAAGCCACAGGTAGCGGAACCAGACCATCTGGCTCTTGTGGGCGGTGGTCATGGCAGACCAGGCGGTGCCCAGCGTGGGCTCGGGTCCAGCCAGGTTGTTGGTGTAGACGAGCCTCTCAGGGTGCTCGGGGTCCTTGTTGCGCGTGAAGAGCGATGAGGCAATGGTGGTGAAGAGGTCCAAGCCGCCCGAGTACTTGCGCAGCATATTGACCGTGTTTAGTGTGTAGACGTCGACCGGGCTCTTCCACTCGGGCTTGCCCTCTGTCAGAGCCTTGGCGAAACCCCGCGCGCCGTGGTAGAGGGAGATGTGGTTGGGGTGGGACGACACGCCGCGGCCGTCAAAGGTGATGAGGGCGTCGATGTTGGCCGTGGGCTCCGAGGCGTTTTCGGCTCGCTGGTGCGCAAGCTGCGGCGCAAAGGCCTTAGTGAGGAGGTTGGCAATCTTAGTCTCGTCCCAGTGCGTCGTCATGGAGTCGGGAAAGTCCTTGCTGGAGGCCAATCGTTGTTGGTCGTCTTGTCTTGCGATTTCAGGGAGAGGGATGCGATGGAAGCACTTACGGGTTGTCGACGACAAAGACGTCGGACTCGTCTCGCAGGCCCAGGGTCAGGCCGCTCTTGACGAGCTCCTTCTTTCTGACTTCGCCGAGGCCTTCGGCATTGCCTAGGATATCCAAGTCAGCCAGCATTCGCGCATAGAATCCATCCTCTTGTCCATCTTCATATTCAGGTCTGTGCTCCTCATCCGTCGGTTTGTCGTACCTGCGCTCAAACACAAAATCTTGACGTGGTTGCCCGTCTCCGGCCTCGCCAGCGCCAGCACCGTCGGGGCGAAAAACATGGCCTCGTCATCCGGGTGCGCAATCAGCAGACACACGCGCTTCTCCAGCAGCTCCGGGAAGCGGTTGCGCACGGCGCTGGCGGTGCAGATGTAGATGCAGGGCACGACGGCCACGACGGACGCCGCCAGCACGAAGAGGGTCTTGGAGCTGAGGTCCAGCTTGAAGGGGAGGCTGAAGGGGAGGCTGAGAGAGTTTGGCATGGTTGCGGGTTGGAGATGCGACGGGATGCGACGAGACGAGACGAGGCTGGCGGGGTGCGGAGCGTGGCCGGGGCTGCCTCGGTAGGATCTGGAGGAGCTGTGTGTTGTTTCTAGTCTGTTGCTTGTTGGTTTCTTGATCGCTGGTTTTCTGTTTGTCGGTGTGATGCCTGTTTTGCTCGCTGTTTGTGCGGTGGTGATGCGTCTCAGTGGTGTTTTTGTTGGGGACGAAGGTGGGTTCTCAAGTCCAAAGAGCGCGAAGGCCGGGCCTTTTTGCGAAGGTCGGCGGGAAAAATAAGGCGGGATGGAGTGGGGGAGAGCAGCATCAGCGGGCCGCAGCGAGGTGCCGAACAGCTGATTTGGCGGGCATCGGATACTGTAGAGCAGAGCAGAGCGTGCAAGCTGGAAGGGTTGTTTAGCGGCAATTGGGCCGAGGGTGAAACGCGCCAGAGGGATCGAGAGCTGCAAGGGATCGTGGAGAGGGCATCACGGGGGCAACGATGCGGTGAGGGGGCGAGTTTGGTTGGTTGGAGGGAGGGAGCTGTTGGTGGTTTGAAGATGCCGAGGGATAGACAGATGGGATGCGCTTGATTCCAATTCATTAATCATGTGGGTTTTGCGCGGCAGCTAGGATGTGCTTGATGAGTATTGTTGGTTCATATCTGCATCTTTATTTTCTATGAATTTCATTTACTATATTACATCTTTTATTTCTTTTATTTCTTACGGCTACAGATGAAGCACCAATGTCTTAACAACCTCATCCAACTGCCATCAAATCTCATCTGAACACCAATAGCGCCACCCTTCAGGGGCATCCAGGCCGCTGCAGCATTATCGATAAGCACCTGACAGCTCCCCATTCCACCTGCTGCGGAGTCTCATCGCCGCCGCTCATTGGCCCGCTGCACCGCCTCGGCTGATCTGGACTGATGTCATTTGTCAATTCTCACGAGACACGTAGACTCAATATTTTCCCCAAGCGCAACACGTCCACCCGTTTTGACTTGTTTATTTGTTTTTCTTTTTTATCTACATCGTCAACATTCACAACCGCCCAAATAAAATAAAACATAGAATAGATACACATATCTCGCAGTTTACACACCATGGCCAAGAATCGAAAGGACCCGAAATCCATCAAGCTTCGCCAGCCAGACCGCTCCGCGCCCACCGAAAAGACGCTGCTGCAGATCGCATCCGAAAGATCGCTCTTCGAACAGGCCGCACGGCGCGAGAAGCAGCTTGCGGGGAAAGACGAGGACGAGGACGACAAGGACGAGAGCGCAAAGCTGTCGCCTGGGGCGGAGCGGTTTCTCGAGGCGATGCTGTACACGACGACGCTGGCGATGCTGCACTTGACGTTTGACGTCTTGGTGATGAAGCAGTATGCCGCTGAGATTAAATGGAAACGAATCATTACCAATGCGGGCCGGATGTGGATGGGTAAGCTCTCTCTCTTTCCCTTTCTATTTACTAACCACGACGAGGAGCAAGTATCATTAACTCATTATTAAACAAACAATAGTCTTCTTCTTCCTCTTCTACTCGCTGCATCCCGCCCAGCCAAACCAGGTCCTCATCCCTGGCCTGCCGCGCCGCTTCCAAAGGACCCTCCGCCAGATGCTCTTCTTCGCCATGAGCTGCGTCTCCGGGTGCGCCCTCGTCTACATCACAAACTCAAAGGGTTACCTGTATAACATGAAGCGCGCGCCGCCGCTGGGATGTCTGTGGCTGTGGGCCGTCGTCGAGCTGGACCTGCTGTGGGCGGTGCCGAGTCTTTTGGTGACGGCGGCGTATGTCTGGGTGAACGGATACTCGATCAAATAAGGGGCTGGAGATAGGGAGCAATGCTTTTTTTTTTTTTCTTTCATCAGTCTTGTTACTCTCCGTACTCCGAGTCCCACGAATCTTCCCTCCTTGGCTTCTCCCCCTCATGCCGCCTCAGTCGCCCCTCCAGGTCGTCGATCCGCGCCGAAATCATGCTCATCTGGAGAAACTGCACTCGCGCTGTCAATGCCTCCCGCTGCCTCACCAGCTCCAGCGCCTTTGTCCGCACCGCCAGCCACGACACCGCCACCGAAGGCCGCCCGCCCGACCACCCCCGCGGCAAAAGCGTCCATTCCGAGGTGCCCCTCAGCGCCGACTTGACCTCGATGTCGGTGATGAGCTCCAGCAGGCGCTGCTCCAGGTTGAGCAGGTCGTCCATGACAAAGGTGTACATTTGGTGCTGCCGCTTCTTCTCGTGGTGGTGCTGCGTGTCCTGGAGTGTGCGCAGGAGGTCGGCGAGCCATGTGGACTCAGTTTTGTACCATGACAGAGACGTCTTGACGCGAAAGTACTCGTCGGAGCTGTTGCGGAGGAAGGCGATGCGGGCGTATGCCGCGGCGGCGATGGCGACGACAAAGGTGAGGATGCCGATGACGTTGGCCGAAGTGGACAGGGGGGAGTCTTGGTTGTTGATGGAGTCCATTCCATTGGATGGTGTGTGTATTATGTACTATGTACTCCGTATGTATGTTTATATTGAGAGAGTGGGATTTGGGGGTTTGTATTACATAGTTTTGTGGTAGGGCGATTCCATTGGAGACTGGAGACTGCACTAGTCAGGGGTAGAACCACTTTTGCCCGGTATGACAATGCCGATATGGTGGAACTAAATAGCTTCATTCTTATTAGATGGACGGGAAAGTATGATGAAAGTAAATAGATATCCTAAAATTCATGGCCCGATATATCCATATCATACATCCCATCCTATACTACTCAATCCACTACCATCTCATCATACCCAAGCAACGAAATCAAAGCAAAATGAGAAAAAAGGAAAATAGCAGAAATATAACAAAAACAAACCCCATTTTTGGTTCGTCATACATCTTCATGCAGATTACGCTATGCAACCGTGGTAAAGAAAAAGAGACCAAAAAAAACCAAAAATAAAATCGCGCTGCCTGTATTCCGCTGCCCCCTTTTTTTTCTTCTCATCGGTTCTCCTCCTCTTCTTCGTGAAAGCCCCTGTCTTATGCAGATGATTCCTCAAGTCTTGATATAACACATGATTAAAAGATAAGGAAAAAAAAGAAAAAAGTAATGAAAAGGGGCAATATATAGCCCAGACAACCTCTTAGTCATCCTAAACCACACGCAAAGCGATAAGGGAAAAGGAAAAGAGAAGAAAATGATCATCACATTTGTCTGTTGGGCTGCTCTGCGAACCGGATTCCTCTCCGTGCAGGCGGTACTCGTGGCGTGCCCTCGTCATCCGAGTCACTATCTTCAGCTGCAGCTGTGCCGCCTACTCCCAGAGCCGCTTCTCGCCGCCTTCGCTCGGCTGGTGTCTCGCCCGTCGTGGTGTTGTTGCTGTTATTGTTGCCGTTGTCTGGCCGGCGTCGCCTGGCCGGTGCACTTCCGCTCCCTTCCGTCTCGCTCTGTTGGCCTCCCAAGGCGGCGAGGCGACGCTTGCGCTCCACGGCAGTTTCGCCCTCCAGCTCCGAAGGCTGAAGAGGGGCGTCAACCGTGCCGCTGCGGCCTCGGCCTCGGGGAGCGTCAGGTTGCCGTCTCGGAGACACGGACTCGGAATTTCGGTAGCTGCCCCGGGGAGCGGGTGAGACGGATGTAGAGGCCGATGTGGAGCTGGGGGCTGAGCTGGATTCTGGCTCGACAATTTCGGGAATGTTCATCGGGCGTCTCGATGGCGGATCTTGTCTGGCCAGGTCCTTGAGCGCCGTGGAGGCGGACGACTGGTCTACGACCTCCTTACGTGTGCCCACGTCGAGCTTCTGAACTTCGCGAATAAAGTCTTCCTTGGTCATGCGTCGTCCCACGCCTCCAATCGTGAAGCGAATCTGCTTATCATCGTCCGACTCCTCCTGGTGCACCACGCTCTTCCTGCGGCCTTCGCCGCTGCCGAGGACGCCAAAGCCGGTGGTCCAGCCGGGCTTGAACACGGGCTTGGCCGACGATGAAGCAGCCGCGCCGGCGGCCGAGGATTCGCCTGCTTTGCCTTCTTCAGCAGCAGATGCGGCCGATTTCTCGGGCTGGCGAGCAAGAGCGCCAAGGCCGAGGTACTTGAGACTGTTGTTGATCAGGGTGCTCTCCTGGCCGGTCGGCTTCTGTGGGGGGAGTTCATATGTCTTGACGACTTCTCCGTCCTCGTCTTCGACGATAATCTATAGGCAAATCAAGTTAGTGGGTAATTCAACACTACAATGGGAAACAATGAGATATGTACCGTGTTGCCGAACTGATAGGCTCGGGCAGGTTCATGTCGTCGCTTTGATTTGTCTTTTTCCTTTCGCTTCTCCACTTCGGAGCTGTACACGTCTGTCATTTTACGTTTGATGTTGTCCATGGTCCAATGGAAGCGTTCCACCTCGGACTTGGATCTCTGCCGAGTGGCTGCGGGTGCTGGCCGTTTCCCGCCCTCTTCTCCTTCGGCATCGTGCGGGGTCGGTTGAACGTCGACAACCTCGCCATCGTCGTTTTCAAAAACTAACTGGTCGCCTTCCTCGTAGACATTGACGTGCGGTGCCCGAGGGCTCTGGCTCTCGTCAGCTCGGCGGCGGCGGCCACGAATCTCGTCTACGTCGTCCAGCTTCTCCAGCTCAACATCTGTAGGGCTGTCGCCGGACAGAGTGGAGTCTCTGACCTCAGGCTCTGGCGGTGTCTCCTTTTCGGGTGGGGGCGAAGCCGGCGCTGAGCGGCTAGGGAAGATGGCCGATTGACTGATGGGGCCTCCAGGCCCAATGCCGTCGTCCCACTTTCTGTGCTTTCTCTTCTTGGCCACCAATGACGACGGACGGCTGCCCGAGCGGCCATTGTCCTCTTCTCTCTGGCGACGGAGAAATTGTGCAGGTGGGGGCAGCGTGCCGGGGGGGAACTCGGGCGTCTTGTAGTCGTCAAAGGATGTCTCCGACATGGTCCGGGCCTGGGATCTAGACTGGGACGAAATCCTGGGCAACCTGTTCATCCATGATGGTCCATCCTCTGGCGCGGCGGTGTAGGACATGGTCAGCGTCAGCGTATTGATGCGCTTGCCGAGCGTAAAGACGGCAACCGAGGATCCATGGACGAGAATGGATGAGATGACAAGGAACGTGACTATGGGCCACACGAGGTAAATCAGGTTGAAGTGAGGCGAGTCCTGAGGCGGCAAGTCCGATAGCGGCACGGGCTCGTCGTGCTCCAGCTCAGCCCGCGCAAGAATGGCGACGAAGATGGCGCCGACACCAATTGGGCCGAAATGGCCTGCAAACAGGGCTTCGCGCCAGTTTTTTATGTCTGGTATGAACGGCTTGAGCATCATCATAATGGGAATGCGGCGGAACAGGATGACGAAGATGGCGATGACAACGAGGCGCCAGACCTCCATGCCCAAGAAGCCATTGTTGTACTGCTCCCACGGGATGATGGTTCCAAAGTAGACAAAGTACGCCAAGTTGAGAAGCAAGTCAATGACGTTGGAAACGTGCGACTCCTCCGTCTTTTCGCCGAACCAGCCGTCGTTAGAAAAGCCGACACCGGCAGCAAAGCCCACGAGGAGGTCGTCAACGCCGAGGATACTACCCGAACCGGCGCAAAACAGCGAGAGGGCAAAGTAGAAGACGAGGAAACTCTCGCGATCAATCATATCGTGTTCCTCGGCGTAGCGGATGCCGCGGCGCGCAATGTAGCCGATCATGAAGCCGTAGAAGGCGCCAAAGATGCACTCGTAGAGGATGACGTAGACGATAAAGTGGAAGCTGACCTCGCCAGCGTTGCGGTTGTACTGGATCAGGTAGAGCGAGAGGTAGATGAAGGGGAAGGCCATGCCGTCGTTGCAGCCAGACTCGGCCGACAGCAAGTCTCGCAGATGCTTGGGCACGCGCTTGGCGAACTTGCCCTTACCAACGACGGACGAGGCCAGGACGGGATCGGTAGCGGTGACACAGGCGGCGACGACGAGCGAGTCGAGCCAGTTAAGCGCGGGAATCATCCACCAGACGAAGAGGCTGACGAGCAGCCAGCCAACGGCCATGACGGGCACCAGCAGGAAGACGACGGAGCGCCAGTGCTTCTCCATGTAAAACTTGGGCAATTCGACGCCGACGGCGAAGCACTGGACGACGAGGACAATGCGCGAGAACTCGACGGTGACGACGTCGACGCTGCCCCAGGATCGCGGATCAATCAGGTTGGCGGCATGGGGTCCGAAGATGACGCCGCAGAGGGTGGCGACGGTGGCCTCGCCAATGTACATGCGCTCCTTGATGATGGACGAGCACAGCATGAAGAGCGAGGTGAAGCCGCCGAGGATGATGTAGACCAAGTGCGGCTTGGTGATGTCGAGGTTGTCCCACGCCATGGCGGGCGGTTGGTTGAGGGTATCGCGACGGGGTGGGCGGAGCAGCAGCAGCAGCAGCAGCAGCAGCTGTTTTCGAGAATGTCTTATTCGTCTCCCAATCTACTGGGCTTCGCCTGTCGTTGTTTTCGCAACCTCCTCTTATTGTTGATGAGTCCTTCTTTCTTTCCTTCCTCCTTCTTCCAGCTCCTTCTTGCCAACCCTCACGTCGGGGTTTGCCGACAAAATATTTTTTCAAGTTGCAATCGCTCGTTTCCTTTCGGCCTTTGCTTATTGCTTAGCTCCGTTTCAAGGCCCGACCTCGCGTGCCCAAACTAAAACAATGGCAGCCCAGGGTCTTGCTGGCACAAGGCGCCGGTCGAGGTTCTGACGGAAGCTGGTGCCGGGAGAAGCAGCGGCCTACGGGCTGGCACTGCAATCTTGGAGTTACTCCCCAGTCAATGGTAGCCGAGCCAGGAGTGTCGCGATGGCGAGACATGCAGGAGAAGAGAAAAGAAGCTCGGGATTGAATGGAAAGAGGATAAGGAACGAGAGAAGAAGTGGGCTCGCACGTGGATACGAGTATAGGCAGGACGAGGATGATAAGGATTGGATTGGATTGGACTGAGCAGATTGGATTTCTTTTGCCACGCTAGCCCCGAAACCCGAGCCAAGGGCTTGGAAGCAGCAAGAGAAGCAACAAGATGGCCTGCGGTGGAGAAGCCAATTGCTGGGCGCGAGGCTGTGTCGTCACTCGATCGGAGGCGTCGGTTCCGTTGCAACTGGCCGATGGGCCCGGAAGAAGCTCGTGGGCCGGGAGACGAAGATGGGGGGAGGGCCGAGAAGAGTTTGACGCTATTGCGGTGGGTGGATTGTATGGGGTTGAAGCTGTCCAAGTTGGTGCTCGTACAGCTTGTTGGAGTCTGTCTTGGAGCCGTACAAGTATAGCGCTGTTAGTACAAGTACAATGTTGCTGATGTTGTTGTGTACTCGTATAGCGGTAGGGATTGCTGGGCTCGGATGGGATTCATGGCCTTCACTTCCAGCTGCCGCAAAAGAAGAAAAGTCTTGATCCAGTCACCGAAGCACGCAAACCCTCGTCAAGGCATAAAAGACGGCCGGCCAACGCGTCGCCAAGGAGCTACCGCTGC